TGTATTTATAACAGAACACATTATTACAGTATTCATTATTACCTCACTAAATGTTTTGTATAAGCTTTAAGAACTTGCTATGTATATACTTAACTCATGGTATACACTGTGTGGTGGTCAGGGTGACTTTATAGGAAGAGGTAGCGGAAAAAGTAGTGGTGGTAGGGTGCTTTCTGTTACTCATTTTCAACATCCAGCTCTTAATATCCTTACACAGTGTTTCACGTGATTAATTACTTGACGGTCATTGGCTGCAGAAGTGTCTTACGGAATTGAAGTTGTGAGGTCATGAGTCAAAGTAGGAATTTGGTTTAACTCTTCATACCAGTTGTTGGAGTAGAAACTTCAGCTGAGCCTATGCAGTAGTGGAGGCCATTTTGTATTGCATTCCTCCATAGAGAGTGTTAACGCCCTCTTTGAGATATATAAGACGCTTGTATGCCCTCTCCTCACATTGTGTATGTTGTGTTATAAAATATTTAATAAAGTATTTTTTTCGGTATTATAATGTGGCACCAACTGTGAGTGTAGTTAACGTTAACTTATGTGAAAGGTAATAAGTGCTCAATAAAACCAATAATGGGGATTGGGGGCTGTGAATCACCCTTTAATATGCCCATCGTTCCAAGCTATCATCCCACAAAGTTTGGTTAAGATTGGCCCAATGAAGTAGGAGTAGTTAGATAAAGGACAAACAGACAGACACAGACATTTTTGTGCTTTACATATGTAGATAAAAAATGTCTTAGCTATATGTATCTATACGAAGTACGACTTTGGTATTGAAAAGGCAATTAAAGACAAGCTTTCTATGTTGAATGGGTCCGAAGTATGACGTCGGTATGAATAATATAAATAAATAAACCTTTTCTTAGCTGGCTCAGTTTGAAGTTGGAATATATAAATAAATAAAACCTTCCTACGTTGGCTGGGTTCGAAGTAAAACCTTGGTAAGTAAAACATAAGTGAATAAAACCTTTTCTAGTTGACTGAGTCTGAAGTAGGACGTTATCATAGAAAATATAAAGAAATAAAACCTATTTTAACTAGCTGGGTCCGAAGCACGAACTTAATACAGCAAATATAATAAATAAAACCTTTCTTAGCTGGCTGGATCCGAAGTAGGACTTTGGTATGGAAAATATCAAACTGGAACTCATCTTAGTTGGCTTGGTCCTTAGAGGATTTTCCCATTTACTGTTTGTTAGCTTTTTTAGTCTTCCCAAAAAAGAGAATGCTCCTGTGGCCCCATTGTGCGGGGTATATTTTTGTAGTAATGGGCCACGAATCATGAATTCTCGGAATCACAGTCTATCTACTAAGCCACGCCTAGATTATAGGGATAATTTGAAATACGAGCTACTAAAATCAATATACAGAAAATGTGGACTCCCGTACATATGACGAAAGACCATGATTAGATCCAGCCGGAGGTAATTGTAATATTAGTAAAAAAGGGGGGAGCCACACGATGTAATCCAATTAGACATCACATGTTCAATTACATGAAGTTGAAGATATTACTTTGGCTACCATTACCATAAGGAGATTTTATGTCAACAGAGTTTTGAATTACTAGTTGTTACATCTTATACACATGTTTGGCCATAACTTTTCCAAAACACGAACTACTCTGAACTTCGAAATTGTTGTTGTTTTGTAACAAATCTAAATTCTCAATAACTTCGATAATTTCATATAGTTCCAGGAATTGATAAAAAAAAGATGGAAAAGTTAAAGAAAAATCAGTAATTTTACTGGAAAGGACTGAATCACAAGAAGAAGGTGGAAATAATTTGGTGAAATTATTCTGGCTATCAAAAAAAAAACTTAAAAGAAGTTAAAATGAACAAGTAGGAGATCAATTAACGACCGTTGTGCGGATTTTTCTAAAGCAAAGAACATAAAACTAGTAAATGAGAAAAGTCATTATGATGCACGTGAACGGATGTTTTAATTAAAGGCATCTTTTCATACGGAAGTCTAGAAGATACTATAAATTGAACACCTTCTCAGAGCAGAACAATAGTAGAACCCACTGGAAGGTTTTGTATTGTCTGAATTAAAAACATTTCGAAAGGACCTCATTAAATAAATTACGAAAAGTTAAGCATAGGCCTCGTTGTGACAGAAATATAGACTTTTCTTATGAATCAATTTTACTGTTACAAAAGAACAACAACAACAAAACGTGAAAGTTAGTCAGTTTTGTGCTGAAACTTAAAAGTAATAATAATAATAACATCATAATGAATTTGCACTGATGTTAGCGCCATCTATCGGCGCTTCGAATATAATACTTGGCAAGCACACGATTCACCACATAATATCCCGGCAGTCCTATTAAAGGTTGCTACTTTGAATGAACAAATAATTAATCAATAGTGTCTGGGCTTTTAATATACTGGCTATAATTAAACTCTTAAATAACGTATAACGTTTTTAATAATGGAAAATGTAGATTGTAATTATTTGTGAAAAAAGAAAAGAATCTTATCCTTTACTTTCTAAAACTGACCTGAAGGAGAAGGACGGCACCAAGAGCAACAATCCATATGACTTTATTCTGATAAAACCATTCCACCAGATATTCCTTGCATCCCACCTGAAACTAGGTAAGGTTGACAAAAAGTGCCATTAATTAAATTAAAAAATAAACTACGACGTAAAATAACATGAACTATTGGGCTATCTGTACTCTGCCCACCAGGAGTATCGAAACCCGGTTTCTAGCGTTGTAAGTCCGCAGACATACCGCTATGTCACTGGGGAGCAATAAAGATCTACACCAGAAAAGCTGTTTTTCAATACGATGTTAGGCTTAGTTTAGTTTCAGCACATAAAATATAAAGTAGTCGATGTTTGTCTGTTATCTTTCAGATGTTCATTTCGCTTACCTTATTTAAATCCGTCTCAATTTTTCGTACACTTGCACTAAACGTGCTCTCCTTTAAGTAACAATTGTTATTGCTTGTTTCTACATCTTCAATGAAGTCTTTTGGTCCAAGAAATCCACAGCACTCAAACTTGAAGAGGAAAGTAGAAAAATTAGTTTAAGAAACAAAACTTCGAATATACGACTACAAGCAAGAAGATTATTATTAGGTTCAGGTTTTCAAGTACTAAATTATACAAGGTTCAGTTTCCTACGCATATGTACAGAGCAGACTTTGAAACCAATGAAATAAATAAATGAAAAACAGCTACCAGCAAGTACATTTAATCGAAACCAGGACTATCTGAATTTTATTTTTTTGTAATAAAAATATATATGTATATCTACAGAAGGCAAACGGATGTCAAGACCACGTTCTAGAATTATTGAGCAAGAGCATGTATTATAATGCAATAACTAGGGTGATTAGATATTATAAGAAGACATCAAGAATTATCAACTTTCATTTACCTCAGACTTCACTAGGTTACTGTATTATAAGTAGGGTGATTAGATATTATAAGACATCAAGAATTATCAACTTTCATTTACCTCAGACTTCACTAGGTTACTGTATAATAACTAGGGTGATTAGATATTATAAGAATACATCAAGAATTATCAACTTTCATTTACCTCAGACTTCACTAGGTTACTGTATAATAAGTAGGAAGTATAGACGAACACGTCAAGAATTATCAATTTTCGTTTACTTCAGACTTCACTAGGTTACTGTATAATAAGTAGGGTGTATACACGAAAACGTCAAGAATAATGAACTTTCATTTACTTCAGATTTAACTAGGTTACTATATAGTAAGTAGGGTGTATACACGAAAACGTCAAGAATAATCAACTTTCATTTAAATCAGACTTCACTAGGTTACTGTATGATAAGTAGGAAGTATACACGAAAACGTCAAGAATAATAAACTTTCATTTACCTCAGACTTCAACTAGATACACGTAGAATTATCGTATAATAAGTAGGGTGTATACACGAAAACGTCAAGAATAATCAACTTTCATTTACCTCAGACTTCACTAGATTATCGTGTAATAAATAGGAAGTATACACGAAAACGTCAGAAATAATCAACTTTCAATGATTCCCAATATCGTTACAGGGAATCACAGAACGAGAATAACACAGTTGAAACTTGACTTTTGAAAATTGGTCTATACGTAGAAAGAAATACGTGAACAACGCGAAACGACCAGCCAAACAGGAGGAATAAAAACCAATACTGTATTTCTTTAACTTTTTCTAGGACAAAATATCTGAAAATGATGGGGAGGAAGGGTAAAGTTTGAAATCTATAATTCAGATAATTTATACTAAACGATAGTATAAATGTGTATGTGTGATTACCTAATATATATATATATATATATATATATACACACACACACACATAAGCAAAAGTACCCGTCCCCAGTGACGGGGAAAGTTTAAGTTAATCTATCAATTTAAATTATTTCATGGACTTTAAAAAGGTTAATTTTGTTGTACTCTTGGTTTCACTCAGGGCCAAAGCTCTGAGCTACTTATACCACCCACCTCAAAAAGTAATTGTTGAACATTTCAGTCATGTTAAGAGCCACTCAACAATAACATACAGTAAATCTACATTTTTATTCTTTAAGTTATGTCACATTTTGAAATGTGAATGACAGTGTGGTTAATTCCTAACAATTTAGTACAGAATATCCCGCTTCCGAAATAAAAATTGGCATCAACATTATTCACGCCTGTTCTCCCATCATTTCAAAAGTGAATGTTGAGATTTGCCTGCGTGCGCAGCTTTTGAAACGGGAGCCAGACGAACGCTCGAACAGACACCACGGTTAGAGATACACTGTATTTCAGTTTAAAATTGATGATATCAATGTGTTTGTATAATGATGTGATATCAATGTGTTTGTGTAATGACATTGATATCAATGTGTTTGTATAATGACATGATATCAATGTGTTTGTATAATGACGTGATATCAATGTGTTTGTATAATGATATGATATCAATGTGTTTGTATAATGACGTGATATCAATGTGTTTGTATAATGATATGATATCAATGTGTTTGTATAATGACGTGATATCAATGTGTTTGTATAATGACGGGATATCAATGTGTTTGTATAATGATATGATATCAATGTGTTTGTATAATGTTTTTTTAGAGGATACTAGAAAATTGGTTTTATTTTCTCACTGCGTGGTTTTGTTTTTCTTTTTCTTTTAGAAAGAAGAGGTACGTTTGGTGAACAAAGCTCTAAC